AATTAAACAAATCATTTTAATGTACTTGACATTAAAATGGCCACCTACTACCAATACCAAAGGCTACACCAGCTACACATGCCAGACATTCACCATCAAAACTTAATCAGTTCTTTCTTGCAACAGTATTTCCACAAACTCTGAAATACGCGGTTAACAGACTGAAATGCAAAAGGTAAAAGCAATAATAATTTAATTTGCCCATTATCACTGACTGTGCACATTATATCTAAATAAGCAAAACAGAGAATATTCCAAAAATGAATGAGTGGTCTGCTGGTAGGGGGATAAAGACAGTTGATAATTACTTCTACACTGTGTATCTCTGTATTTAATTTTACTCTCTCCCTTTAGTTTTCTTATACTCTCCCCCTTTCTCCTTACAATCCTTCACTTTTTCTTTCTTTCTATCTCTCATACACCCTGACTGTAAAGCCTATAAATCACATGGTGATAGATTGGCCCCATTGGGAATGTCTCAACCAGAGGCCGAGAGCAAGGGTAGCTCACCAGATATGGCTCTTTGTTCTGAAACCACTTCACGGGGGGATATTTACATGAAGGGCACAGATCCCAGTCATCCTGGCATGAAAGGGGGAAAGAAAGGGTTATATTCAAGGAAACCATCCAAGGACAATAAAAGGCTGCAATAACAGATATTTTCAAGGGACCAAATTGCAGGTTATATTTGGACTGAGACCTCTGGTGGGAGTGAATACTACGATCGTCTCTATTTATATTGCAGCTTTGTCACTTCATAGAGAATGGGCCATCAAGGTAAAGTGTGTGTTTGAGTTCAAGAGGCGTAACCTAGAAAGTAAAGCATGCTGCTGCTGTGTGGAAGACGTGCTGGATGAACATCAGCCTGGGGTGTTGTTAGCCTGAATCTTTGATAAGTGGTTTATACCACAGGTAACAGAGCTCTAAGCCTTTTTACATTGTCATTGCCATGTTGACAAAAGTTCAGTTTAACTCGTGTTTCACACAGTAAATTAGACACTTCAGTTTCAAATGACCTTCATCCCAACATGCTGCCTTGCCGCATACCCTCGCCAGCAAGCCACCATGGAAAGCTCGTGAAAATGACACGCTGCGAGGGGCTCGCACCATCCATCACACCTCCCAGGAAACGCAGAGGTGGCTGTCACACAATTCTATTGGCTTGTTTGACTTTTAATGTATTTATCTCTGTACAGGAATGCCAAAAGCAACAAGGTCACCCTTGCGTCATCACAGATTGCCAAAAGCTCCTTCTGCCATAAGTCCCATCCCTGAATTTTAACCCTGGGCATCTCTCACAGTAAGATTAAATATTAATGCAACGCAGCGAGGGTTATAACAGCAGGACTAGCACAGTTTAACACAATGCCAGGAAGAGTTATCACCTCACTGTTAATGACTATAGACTTTACATACTCTTAGCTATACAGGTGCTATACACAGGCTAGCCAGGGGTTTTTAGGGTACAGTCCACTTTCTTTGCAAAGCTGCCTGTCTTTGTTGAAGATGTAGTGCCTGATCTTGCTTCAGAGCCCAGTAGCATCCCCAAATCCAAAAATGTCCTCAGAGCTCACTGTTGATATTTGGAAATTTAGCTGTGAACTGTGTTGACTCTCACAACATCACCAGTTGGAGGCAGTAGTAAGTGGACCTTTAAAGTCACTCTGTGTAGAGTGTGGCTCCCTCCAGTGGTAGTATCAGAAATAGCAGGTTCATCTCTTTTGTCCAAACTGGAATATTATAACAACTATTGGATCAACTTTGATGTTAAGATGAGTCTATAATCACATCCATAATCTACAAATGTAACTAAGTACATTTACTAAACAACTGTACTTAAGTACAATTTTGAGGTACTTGTACTTTACTTGAGTCTTTTTTTTCACGCAACTTTATTTCTCCATAACATCTCAGAGGGAAATATTGTACTTTTTCAGCTTTAAACAAGTACAGCTGAAATGATCAGTTGATTAATAAATTAATCAATCAGTAGATTGACAGAAAACTGATTGCCAATTATTTTGAGTATTTAAGTCATTTTAAATGTAAAACATTTGATAGTTGTAGCTATTGCACATGTAAACACTTGTCATTCCTTTTAATTATTTTCATTTATTAGTATTAATTTGGGATTTTAGACTGTTGGTTGGACAAAACAAGCATTGTGAAGATGTCACTTTGGACTCTGGGTGTGACGGTACAATTTTCAGAATGTTTACAAACAATCAATCAATTAATGGAGAAAATCAGCAAATTAATGCATAATGCAAATAATCATTAGTTGCAGTTCAATACAAAATAGTTTAAAACAACTACAGTAGAAAAACTCTGCTTTTACATTGATTTATGAGTAACAATAATCTAATGATATATATATAACAAAAGTCACAGGGGACATTTTTCTGCTTTTATTTTTAAGGCTTTAAATACATTTGCCTGATTATACATATATACTTTCACTTAAGAAACATTTTCAATGCAGGACTTTTACTTACGGAGAAACAAAGTATTTTCACACTATGGTCTATCTGAATATTTTGTCAACTACTGATCTACACATACATAGATATCAGAAATGATGCTAAAATTATGAAAGGAAACACATGCTTATGTTTTATTCACAGACTAATCAAACTAATTTGTGAACCAAATATTGGTGCCTATAAACCAGACTGTGTATGCGAATGTCATTTTAAAATTTGAAACACACTGTCTCTGTGTTTATAAATTGATACATCAACAGGCAGACCTTTGGCTTACAAAAGAAGACAAAGATACAGCACAAAGATGAAGACACCTATAAAAACTGGCACTGAAGTCACTGGAACTGCAAAACAGAAAGCAATGCTCAACAAGTCCTTGACAACATGCATTACATCCAAGAAAACTGAGGTTCTTTTATAAAAAAAAAAGAAGAAAAATAACTCCCTGGCGATGCCTGCAATTGCTTTTCATTATTAAGTGGTCAAAGACAAGAACTGATTTAGCAGCCTGAAGTTTCATTCCTGCTCTCCGTAATGCCTTCCCTCCATTAGCTTCACCATCTCATGGGAGATGATTCCCTCCAAGAAATCTGGCGCAATAATGTACATTGCACAGTGACAAGGAATAAGACTTTTTAATAAACGAATATAAGAAGAAAATCCTGCCAGGAGACAGGACCAGGAACCTTTTGTGGGCTGCCTGTTGAAAGAGTCTCAGCCTGTATTATACTGCGGAGTTTTTTGGGGTCTGCTCCAGATAAGGGTAAATAAAGCCTTTTATTGCTTTGATTCCCTCAAAGATAGACTCAGCTGTGTAATATAGCCACCAAGATACCAGGGGATTGGAGACAAATAAGGACAGGAGCAAGGTAAGGAATACAGCATATGAATTTTTTTTCATTTCTTATGATAAAATATATGCAAAGAATAGCTTGAAGGCAATCTTAGAATCTTTTTTATTATTTTAAGGCCAAAAACCATCAAGTGATATTTCTGTTTAATTAAGCAATTCACAAGTAAAGATACACTAACCATGTTTGTTTTCCTCTGACAAGATAATTTATTATCAGAACATCAAAAATGCATTTAATCTTATAATAAAGGTGTATTTCATGCAGGCTGTGCTATCATTAATGACTACACCTTAACTCATAACCTGCAGACATGGTTGGTGACCTATTTAAACTCAGCCTGGTAAGAAGGTCATATCTGACAGCAAACAGTTTCCTTTCATTACCTCCGTCTGACACTTAATGTGCCTGTTCACATATAGTAGCTCTGACACGTATCGACTGAGTATTAAACCTGCTATTGGGCTCAGCCTCAAATCAATACACAAATACTTTCCCAGCTTTCAGAAAACTCCTTTTCTGTAACATCAAGTCCTCAAGTGGTTTAGATCATTTCTGTGGGCACAGATGAATGCTCCCTGAAATTACTTTTTTATTTGTATCTTATTAGCAGTTATATGATTAAATGGCAGTGATTTATTTCTCAACTTGGCAAGTGGAACGACCTGTCATTCATCACGAGCAAGGTCACTGAAAAGTCAATCTCTATGTCTATTTTAGTACTTTTTCTCCTACAATCTCCACATCTTAGGGTGGGAGTCAGTCATTTACACTTCAGTCAGCCTACACACTGTAGTATCTCTCTCTGTTTCTTAAGCTAATTTAGCAACTGTTTTCATTTTTATTCATTTTTCATTCTTTCATTTTAGTGGATAAACTATCTGTTTGTTTATCTGATCTGTTTGTCTCTCTATGTATCAGTATGTGTAGGTGGGTTTCCATCCAGCAGTTTTATAGGGGAATTTTTAATTTGCGCTTAAAAAGAGGAAATGTTACAAATTCGAGAAAGAAAAGTTGTAATATAAAATTGTTTTGTAATGGAAACAGATTCAACAAAGAAACCATAATGTACATGATGCATGTGACTTAAACGTCCACTGAAGTGACAAAAAATGGATTTTAAGTCAGGTCAGTTTTATTTACATACCCCAAAATCACAGATTTCCCATAAAAGGCTTTACAAACTGTACAGCATAGGACACCCTCTATCCTTGGACCCTCAGTTGGTGTAAGGAAAAACTCCATGGGAAAAAGGAAGCCACAGAGAACGGATCCTTCTACCAGAACGTAGATAGATAATAAATGTTCTATGTACAGAGAACAGAAATAACAATAAAATTACTGTACAGAGTAACAGAATGACATAATTAGGTATATACACTGCAAATATACACTCACTGGCCACTTTATTAGGTACACCTTGCTAGTACCGGGTTGGACCCGCCAGGGTGTTGGAAACCTCAGAGACTTTGGTCCACATTGACATGATGGCATTGAGCAGTTGATGCAGATTTGTCGGCCACAAGCAGGGAGGTGACAGGTGGTGTGTTGTGTGTCTGAGTTTATTTTGTCCCTTCTTGAGCGTGTGAGAGGTGCTTGGTGGGTTTTGGTTTTTGTCTGTCTGTGTGTGGTCTCTGTCTCTCTCCCTCTCCCTCTTGCTCGTCCTTTCCTCCCGGTCCCTCAGGGCTGAGTTGTGGGCTGCGCCACTGGACCACTGGGCGGTTCTCCCCAGCTGCAGGCAATGTGCTGTTCACACACCTGTCTCCTGTGATCATCAGAACTGGCTTTTATACCCTGCCATCCCCTCAGTTCTCCGCTGGATTATTCAGTCATGTTTGAAGGTGACACTACGACCAGCTGAAACCTGCTTCCTGAGACCTTTGTGCCTGTTACTGATTCTGTTTTCCTATGCTCTGCTTTAGTGTTTCTGGAGACCCTGCTCAGCTACTGTGTCACTCTGCCTATGGAGGAACGCCTTGCTGGAAACTCACCTTCGTGGACTCATGTCTCCGTCAGCTCCTCCTCACCAGCCTCGCCTTCCCCCGCAGTTACCTGCCACCACACGCCACACCGGAGGAACCATTCCCCTTGCATTAAACCTTATCTTGTTTTTCAATAAACTGTAAAAATCCTCCTAATCTGTTCTTGTCTGCATCTGGGTTCTGAGCCACAAAATCCCTGACAGATGCAAAATCTCTGGTTCCACCACATCCCAAAGGTGCTCTATTGGACTTACAGGTGCTGGTCATATTATTAGAATATCATCAAAAAGTTGATTTATTTCAGTAATTCCGTTCAAAAAGTGAAACTTGTATAATGTATACATTCATTCCACACAGACTGATATATTTCAAGAGTTCATTCCTTTTAATTTTGATGTTTATAACCCCAAAATCAGTACCTCAGAAAATTAGAATATTGTGAAAAGGTTCAATATTGAAGACACCTGCTGCCACACTCTAATCAGCTAATTAACTCAAAACACCTGCAAAGGCCTTAAAATGGTCTCTCAGTCTAGTTCTGTAGGCTACACAATCATGGGGAAGACTTCTGACTTGACAGCTGTCCAAAAGACGACCATTGACACCTTGCACAAGGAGAGCAAGACACAAAAGGTCATTGCTAAAGAGGCTGGCTGTTCACAGAGCTCTGTGTTCAAGCACATTAATAGAGAGGCGAAGGGAAGGAAAAGATGTGGTAGAAAAAAAGTGTACAAGCAATAGAGATAACCGCAGCCTGGAGAGGATTGTGAAACAAAACCCATTCAATAATGTGGGGGAGATTCACAAAGAGTCGACTGCAGCTGGAGTCAGTGCTTCAAGAACCACCACGCACAGACGTATGCAAGACATGGGTTTCAACTGTCGCATTCCTTGTGTCAAGCCACTCTTGAACAAGACACAGCGTCAGAAGCGTCTCACCTGGGCTAAAGAAAAAAAGGACTGGACTGCTGCTGAGTGGTCCAAAGTTATGTTCTCTGATGAAAGTAAATTTTGCATTTCCTTTGGAAATCAAGGTCCCAGAGTCTGGAGGAAGAGAGGAGAGGCACAGAATCCACATTGCTTGAAGTCCAGTGTAAAGTTTCCACAGTCAGTGATGGTTTGGGGTGCCATGTCATCTGCTGGTGTTGGTCCACTGTGTTTTTTGAGGTCCAAGGTCAACGCAGCCGTCTACCAGGAAGTTTTAGAGCACTTCATGCTTCCTGCTGCTGACCAACTTTATGGAGATGCAGATTTCATTTTCCAACAGGACTTGGCACCTGCACACAGTGCCAAAGCTACCAGTACCTGGTTTAAGGACCATGGTATCCCTGTTCTTAATTGGCCAGTAAACTCACCTGACCTTAACCCTATAGAAAATCTATGGGGTATTGTGAAGAGGAAGATGTGATACGCCAAACCCAACAACGCAGAAGAGCTGAAGGCCACTATCAGAGCAACCTGGGCTCTCATAACACCTGAGCAGTGCCACAGACTGATCGACTCCATGCCACGCCACATTGCCGCAGTAATTCAGGCAAAAGGGGCCCCAACTAAGTATTGAGTGCTGTACATGCTCATACGTTTCATGTTCATACTTTTCAGTTGGCCAACATTTCTAAAAATCCTTTTTTTGTATTGGTCTTAACTAATATTCTAATTTTCGGAGATACTGAATTTGGGATTTTCATTAGTTGTCAGTTTTAATCATCACAATTAAATGAAATAAACAACAACTTTTTGATGATATTCTAATTATATGACCAGCACCTGTAGATGTGGTGACTTGGAGGCCATTGGAGTACAGTGAACTCATTTGAATTGTCATGTTCAAGAAACCAGTTTGAGATGATTTGAGCTTTGTGACATGGTGTATTATCCTGCTAGAAGTACCCATCAGAAGATGGGTACACTGGTCATAAAGGGAAGGACAGGATCAGTGACAACTCAGACGTTGATTTTAAACTATGCTCAATTGGTACTAAGGGGCTCAAAGTGTGCCAAGAAAATATCCACCACACCAACACCAGCCTGAACCGTTGATACAAGGCAGGATGGATCCATTCTTTCATGTTTATGCCAAATTCTGACCCTACCATCTGAATGTCGCAGCTGAAGTTGAGATTAATCAGACCAGGCAAGGTTTTGGTGACCTTGTGCAAATTGTAGCCTCACTTTCCTGTTCTTAGCTGCCAGGAGTGGCACCCAGTGTGGTTTCCAATCTACTTCAAGGTTCGACGTGTTGTGCATTCACAGATGGTATTCTGCATACCTGGGTTGTAACGAGTGGTTACTGGAGTTACTGTTGCATTTCTGTCATCTCGAACAGTCTGCCCATTCTCCTCTGACCGCTGACATCAACAAGGCATTTTTATCCACAAAACTGCCGCTCCCTGGATATTAACTCTTTTTCAGACCATTCTCTGTAAACCCTAGAGATGGTTGTGCGTGAAAATCCCAGTAGATCATCAGTTTCTGAAATAGCCAGACCAGCCCGTCTGGCACCAACAACCATGCCACATTCAAAGTCACTTAAATCCCCTTTCTTCCCCATTCTGATGCCCGGTTTGAATTTCAGCAAGTTTTCTTGACCTCGTCTACATGCCTAAATGCATTGAGTTGCTGCCATGTGATTGGCTGATTAGCTATTTGTGTTAACAAGCAATTGAACAGGTGTACCTAATAAAGTAAGAGAGTATATGAGGAATATAATTCTGTGAAGATGTTGATCAACTTCTGGTTGCTACTAAAATGGTGAGACCACTGCACCAGATGATGTGAGCATTACAGATGATCCTGGGTGCCCTACAGGATATGTTAGATATGTCCTGAGCTACAAGCCTTTGCTTAACCAGGTTGAAGCTGATTTCACTACACATATTGTATGACCATGTGACAAATAACACTTTTCAGTCTTTTACTCTTCAATCTTGAACTCTGCCCATCTGAGGAAAAAAGCAAGCAGGACTAACAGTCAAGGCAATAACTCACAGCTTTAATTACTGAAAAACCAGCTGCCTAATAAAAAACCAACATGTTGCAGAGTATGACAGAGACGGTATGCTGCAGTGTGACTTATTTATTGGATAATATATTTGCAGACAGCCATATGACACTGCTTATGGCTGCATTCTTTTGTTAAGAGTAGTAGAAACTCGGAACATTGTGTTTTAACCATAATACATGTATTGTATGAGATTTTGAGAACATGCTACTATAGAAATAGACAAATAGAAAATACACAATATACCTTAAAATGGATGTAGTCTTAATTTATAAAGCTGAGGCAGAAGGGATGAGTAGTCTCAGAGAAGGAGACACCTGAGACCACACTATCCTCAGTCAATTTAAATCACATCAGTGTTCTGCAGAAACTGTGATCCCAAAAGCTCAATTGAAAAGGAAAAAAATTAATTAATTAACTTTTTCCACAATGTTTTTATTCTTCTGGGTTCTACTGCAAGGATATAAAACTTGTTTTACATGTAGCCCACCATGTCAACTGTTGGTTCTTGTAAAAAGAGAACAAGGAAAATAGAGAAAGGTTCTTTCAGCTGGATACCAGCAATAATCTGTGTTAAACCTGCTGAGCTGCTGTATTACTGAAGCTCTTGGCAGGTGTAATCACACTGTAGCCTCGCTCAGTCATTTTGAATAAGCCCTGATCACCGTGAAACTTCAGATAAGCACGGCTCGCACTCAGACATGCCAGGGGAATGCTGAATCTGCTCTCTTGCCGCTAATGCCCAAAGAAAACCAATCATGATGCAAATAATAAACACATTTTTGCAGCACTGGAATCTTTGTTGTTTCTAAAGGAACAACAGGCCCACATGGGAGAGGGAAAATCATTTGAAGACACAAACAAGAGCTAAGTATGACTGCAAATGTAGTGATGTCATGTAAATGTTAAAATGCTGCCGTGAAGTAGCTTTTAAATTAATTAGTTTACTTCATTCACTTGGGATTTCTGCAATCTGTTCCATCAGCAGAGGCTGTCCTTCTTAGAGGCCACAAAGAAGGAAATAGTCAAATTATTGTATCCAACCCATCACTGTTAATGTGATGTACTGATTATGCAGGAGGGGAAAAATCAGCAACTCAGCATTTTAACAGGCACAGTGTACTTCTCAGGGTCTTTAATGTTGTGTGCGTTTATTCCCAGCAAAACAGGCGAGGAGGGACTTGAGAACAGAGCACTTAAAAACACTTTGCACATTTTTGCGACTGAGCGGACAGACTCGGGGGTCTGAAGGTCGACAGCTCTGTGATGCATGACAGAGAAATGGGGCTTTCTGCTAACGGCACACCGGTGTTGCTTACAGCGAGGTCAGCATTTTACTCACTTTGCTCTACCCACTCCTGCACTCTGGATTTCAGCTCCGAGACACATCACATCAGCAGAGTGATGGGCCAGCTGCCTATCTTCATTCACTTTATGTGTGTGTGTGTGTGTGAATAGGTCCGTTACTTGTGGTACCAAGTGTATAGACGTGGTAAAGCTACACCACATTACATTTTTTTCATATTAACAGTTTCACATAATTAAGGTGTCACATTTAGTGAAGAACCCACCGAGAATTATCATCATACTGTGCAGCTCCCCTAGGCCACAGCTCCACTCTCTTCAACCTTGTTTCACAGCAGGCAACTGTTTTCAGCAAAAAAGCTCTGATAAACAAAGTGTACACCACCCGCCCAGCACAGAATAGAAGGCAGACAGAGCTACAGTAGCAACTAGCTTGTGAGCATAGGAGAGCATTTATTTTTTTTATTTCCTTCTGGAGTTGGTGGAGAGGAAAACAGAGCTTAAAGAAAAGTGAATATTGGACTGATATTCTTCAGGTGGACACAAACATGACTCAAAGCTGATATTTTCAGCTCTGGACACCCTGGTGGACTAGGGGTTTAAGGCACTGAATCTGGGCTGGGATTGCTGCATGTCATTCCGTTCTCTCTTTGCCCACCTCATTTCCGGTATGGAAAGAAAACAGTTTGTAATTTAATTCCAAGAGGAAAAGGCAAGGCAAGGCAAGGCAAGTTTATTTGTATAGCACATTTCAGCAACAAGGTAATTCAAAGTGCTTTACGTAAAACATGAAAGCAACAGGGAAATATAAAAAAGTTAAAAAAAAAAAGTTAGAAAATAAAAACAGGCA